CATTTATAAGTCCTTCCATTTACCAATTCTAAATTTAAGAGGATTCAAGATGTACATACAAGAATTTCAACTAAATCATTAGACCTCATTTCAACTTGATATGGATTGCTTAACTTCGGCATATTAATATTATTTCTCCTCAGATTGTTCACGCTTCAATATGTCTGAATATAGCATACTAGTTTTCGATTCTATTAAGTGTATGGAATATAGTATTTAGAACACATGAACCTTAAACATTGGAATCTCACAATCTAATACACATTTCAAAATACATTTAGGATAAAGGTGGTCTGCTGAAACATATAAACTTTCATAAAAACGCTTGCAATCTAAGGAAAAAATGTTAACCAAGATGCATACACAGTAAGACATGTAGACTTAGAGGTCTGAAGGTTAGACGTTTCTTGTGAGACCTGAAAGTCCTCAGTTCGATCTCTGGTGGTATCAAGCATGTGTACTACAGAGAAGTCTAATATACTAGGACGAAATAACAGATTACAACTCGGATATTAGATAAACGATACTTCATACAGGATCTAGTCAAATGTCCGTTTCCGCTGTGGTATATAAACACAAACATGTTTTATTCACTATAAATATTTTGTCTGTAATAACACTGATTATTAGAATATCTGTTATTTTCCATATAAAGTCCTCGAACTAACATCTTTTTGGAATAAACTATTGAACCAAAAATTATGAGTAGTTGAATGAATGAATAGTCAAGACTAAGTTGAAACTTTTCACTATTAAGTTCACATCAAAATCTCATTCTTTGGAAAGTTCCAAAATATTTGTCTTTTTTAATAAGTGGATTACTGTTGAATTATTAAATTCCGTTGGTAGGATGTGTATTATTGCTGAAGGGATTTCAAAAGTTGTAAAACTGAATCCTACCAACTGTGATTAAATTATTTAAACATTAAACTATTTAAGCGGATATCTGAATGCATTCCAAAAAGAAATCAATAATCAGAACTAGGTATAATGGCAAGGCATTAATCCAGTGCTGTTCAACAATACAACAAACATTTAAAGCATCGGTATGGGGTTGTGGAGATTGTTGAGTTTTAATTAATATCATGAATACCATTGGATGCCGGTTCAGCGGTCTAGCGGTTAAGCATTCTCACAAGACCGAAGGTCCTGGTTTAAAGTCCTGCGTGAGGGATCGTGGATGTGCACTGTTGAGAAGCCCCACACTAGGACGAAACGTCCATTCAGTGCTCCCAGGTTTTCAATGGTGGTCTAACACTGATCAGTTCATGATCTCAATTGAAATGATGAGAGCCTAAAATACTGAGTGGAACTTAAAATAAAATTTTCATTTAGCAGGAAAACGTATTTATTATTTAATTAGTCAGGTGAATTCCCAGAACTGAATCATTAAACAGGAGTTTAATGATGAAGTGGTCTCATGATTGACCTAAACCCTATGGAAGTCATTAGTAATAATAATAGAGGTAAGGTGATTAATAAGGAACAAGGAGAATAACTAGATGCATACTATGTAAAGCATTATTTTTTATTCATTTTTTTAATAAAAGATAGAATTCCTATAGCTGATAACTTTTACCTATTGCTCCCTCTCTCTCTCTCAACCAACCATTCACTCCATCTATCTGTTTATCTATCTTTCTACCTATCTCTCTAATTCTTACACTCATTTTCATTAAGTCGTTATAATGTGACAAGTGTAAATATGAAAGCATTTCGCTGTTATACATTTAATCACTGAATTATTCAGTCAGTACTAATTTAAACCAAACTCCATTAAACAGAAACCCAGTACATAATGTTGTTGATACAAAGTAACTATTCACTGTTTTACGAATTTATAAAATGAAACGGATTGTCTAGCATTTATAATACGACAAATTGTGGACTATTTTAACCAGATTTCTGTTTGTGTGTGTGGGCTATTGGATAATATCTCAGAACCAATAATTAATGAATCTACTCATTATTATGCAAGGTGAAATGAGTTATTGATTGTAATTGTAATCAATATCACTTGGACATCTTTCACAATCATCTAGCTAACTAATAAACAGAATTAATTAATAAGTATTATAGTATCTAATATGATAGGTAATTAAAATGTCAAAAATACTTCTCCCATTAGTCGAACTAATGAAAGCAGATTCATTAATTGTATGCATCCAAGACCACACCGTAGATCTAGCACAAGACCTTCAGCTTTGACGGCGAGCGACAAACAATTTCCGATAAACCCTCATCTTAATAATAATAATTAAGGTTGTTATGTGCATTTTACAGAAAATACGAATGTCGTAAATATAATATCACAATCAAAAGATACATCATTAGGGGCAAACAAACTGTTCTTTCTTAGGGATGTCTCATCAATAAGAAATTAGAACAGTTAGTTGACCAGTTCATAGAAGACGTATTATTGATTAATCACATATATGTATCTGAACAATATAGCTGAGTATCAACTTACGAAACTTATAATTACTGTCTAAACGAATGATTACACAAAGTGAAAATTATAAGAAACAACATTAGCTAACAACTTCAACTAGTTATAGAAATATTGAAGTTATTACATTATCTCTACTAAATTATTACCTCAATTATTTGCACAAACAACAACACACAAATAAAATGGATTCACTTCTCTTCATTTCTTAATATGAATCTCTACATTTATTCATTATAGTTTAACAACTGATCATTTCAACCTAAGAAACAACACACTCATTAATACCTTTTTAATACTAGTTGACTTTTGAAATCATTCATCAAGTGTGCAGTCATCTAGTACAATATTCCAAACAGTGATGCACAATATACAGGAAATATCCATTCCTAATTGACATTTCCATTCTACTATTCACTCATGCAATTATCTCTCACTAAATGATGCTTTCGGTGAACTACATCGAGAAGGACGATTCAAGACAAGACAGCATAAATGAATTTCTAATCACTGACTCACAAAACAATTTAAACGATTGTCTGATAACTGACTTCGTCACATTACAAGCCTTCAGGTAACAAACAGTCATTCATAGTGTTTATGTTGATTGATCGGAGCTAGATGACAGAAAAGCATTGAACGAGATCTTGTGGAAGATGGCACTGGACAACAAGTTCACTCCAATCTTGAGGTAACTGATCTTCATTATGGCATTCGAGTCCACGTCAGCTAAATTCAATGTCACAGACCTTCTCATGGAGCTACTTCGACCAACATCCACCTTCTATGACACTGATATATTTACAGTTCATTCATTATCAACTGGTGACCAATATCACACTTGTCTACTCGCTAATATTCTCATCAATGAAATCACTCATATTAAGCTGCTTAATTTGCCAATTTTCCCTCACCGTACAAAATATCTGTGTACTGAATCCTTCACTGAACTGTAACCGATGTGTGTTATGTTTTACGATCGTCAATTCCAGTCATTGAACAGTTCTACCATATTCCGTAGGTTATTTATAGTGTCACAAATATCTACTTTCTCTGAATTCATTTCCAATCAACAGAATTGTCGTCCGTCATCTCTAGTGTGTGTTTTACCAGCAATCAATGTAGGTAGATGTATAAGTTGGAGCTGATTTTCATAGTGCACTGACATATTCTGGGGAATCATTAAATATCTGAAAGTGATTTGATGTTTTTTCGTCAAACATAATATAGAAATAATTTCGTAGGGTGTTAGTTTGCTTACACAAACTAATCAACGCAGTCCTTTTAATAGGTGTTAAGACATTCTAAACTCATTCATCAACTAGTAATCTTTATGAAGACCTCTACATTTAATGGGAAGTATAGAATACAATAGACGGCTTGAATGGGGCTAGACGACTTGAACTTTGCAGATGACCTAGCTCATCCCTATCTATACACACCAACAAATGTATGTCAAGAAAACCAGTGTAGCAGAAGCCTCTGAATTAGTAGGCCTCAACATATACAAGGGAAAAACCAAGATCCTCAAATACAACACAGAGAACACTAACACTGTCACATTTGATGGAGAAACTCGGAAAGAGGTGGAAACTTTCACTTACATGGACAGCATCATCATTGAACAAGGAGAATCTGATTCAGACGTAAATGCAAGAATTGCTAAAGAAAGAGAGGTATTCCTACAGTTGAATAACATACAGAACTCAAAACAACTGTCAACCAATATCAAAGTCATAATCTTCGATACGAACGTCAAGGTAGTTCTACTCCAAGCAGGTGAAACTGAGAGAACTACGACAACCACCACCAAAAATGTACAAGTATTCATAAGCAAATGTCTACTCAATATACCCAATATCCATTGGTCTGATACCACTGTGGCAGAGGACAAATCAGCTTCCAGCTGAGGAAGGAATTACGAAAAGACGTTGGAGGTGGATAGGATATACATTGTAAATATCACCAAACTGCATCACTGGGCAAACGCTAACTTGGAATCCTGAGGGGAAAATGAAAAGAGCAATACCACAGAACACACTGAGCCAGGAATCGGCAGCAGATATCAAAGGAATGAATAGCAACTGGAAACAACTGGAAAGGATCGCCCAGGACAGAGTTCCAATGGGCGACCTATGCTCCTTCACGAGGGACAACTAGTGTAAGTGAGTGAGTAATCTTTTAAGAACAGATAGTTGTCGCAAATTATTGTTCTAATTAATAATGGTTCGGTGTTAGTCTTGAGTTTGAGCAAAAATTCTAGATGGAACTCTAAATACATCTAAATAACAAACCCGAATGAATAAGACATTTAGCTTTAATTATTCCCATAAGCAAATATAATTTACTTGTGAATAAATGAGTATTTTACTTTTCTTGCAAACCGTATACTTGAAGGTTAATGATCTAGTGCATATCTTTGGGGACACTGTATTCACTGAGCTTGATGGTCTAGCCCTAAAGTTTATATGATTCTTTAGGACAACATCAACAGAACATGCCTCATAAAAATGTATACAGATAATCAAAATGTTGAAACGCTGACAAATACCTGGCTAAATGTTCATCTTGCTTTAATTCTATATCACGAACTTCTTTTTCCAATGTCTCAATTCGTGTACGAACTTGTTCCAATTCTTCAGTAGTATCCATTAAAACTGTATCAAATCGTTCAGCTTCATCTTTGTAAATTTCAAGAAATTTATGCAACGTTTCCACATTTCTTGGATCATAAGGATTAATGATCTAGTTTGAGAAAAAGGCACGTTGAAGGCAACATAGAATTAATCAGATTTAGAAAACTATATATATGATAAATACCTACACTCGTTTAACTAAATTTATCATTTACAACAAGCAATACAATCGACTTGATCTTTATTAACTATTGTTAACAATATTGATAAAAAGAATCATGTAATCACTGTAGGTACCATCCAGGTCGAAATATACTAAATCATTCTATTCAATATACAGCAAGTGATACGATTTAAAAAAGATTTATGGTATACCTCAATCTATAAATTAAACATTTCAATGTTAGGCTGATTTATTCAATAGTTCTGTTTGTTAATGCCTGTTTCATAAGTAAAATCATTTTCAATAAATCGATCCGAATCATGACCGATTGTTGTTATTTATCAAATTGTAAAACCCCATTTATATATTTTTCAGAATTATGATTATTTTATTCAGATTTCAACCGAAATGAAAAAAAGAACACAAATATTGATTACAGTGAATTTACATTTCTATGACATTTCTTATTTTGTCTAGTTGGTTTGTTTTTCATTTCGAATAAAGAATAATCGTCAATTGATTCGTTGAATCGCTGGATGACAGAGAAATACAATCATTATTTTAGGTGAGAATTCTTAAAAGAAAGTAGACAAAAACGCACAAAGAATTCAAGAAATTTGTCATCTTTTGATCTGGGCGGGGGTTTTGTGGGGATTTTTAGATGATATCTGTCATTGAGTAACATCATCTGAGATTTTATTGAAAGATGCAACCAATAGACAGATATTTCATTCTAATATGGGACTCCTTAGTGATTTTATTGTCAAGTAAGAAAGTTAAGGATAAATTTTTGAATAAGCACTTTTTCCCTTAGATAATCTTTAGAAAAATTGATAAATATCGCCATTGTTAAAGTGACAGTGAATTTTATTTCATGGATCATCGTAGCAATCCGTTCGTGTTAACAATCTACATCTAAGAAGATAAATTTTAAACAGTTTGAACGTTTCACTTTACTTATAACATGTTTATATACAAACATTAAAGACTCAGTGTTAAACACAGATATGAGAAAATAACTATTCTTTTACATAGAACGATCTACTGCGTCTAAGTAACTTTTGATGTTCTTCTTGTTCAGCCTCCACCCTAAGCAATAACCATGTACTACTTTTCAGCTTATCATTTTTTTTTCAGAAAACTTTTATTTGCTTTAACTACTGTCTATTGTCACTGGTGAATTCAGATGAAGATGAATTAAGAAATTTTGGAATGAAAGCACTGAAAACTATCAACTGCACACAAATGAATTCGATGTGACGAGTGATACAAACACAAAGTAACCACACATAGAGGTGAATAGGAATTATGCGAAAAAATGTTTATTGTTGTTAAATATCTCCTTAGTAAATGCTTTATAGGCCAATGGTAAGTCAACTTCTGTTCTACAGGGAAATATGATGAATGTTATGTGTGTCTGTGTCCATGTTATTCCCAGTTCATTTGTCTTACAAAACATACATAACTAAATATCTCACTTTTTACAGAGTTAGTCTGATAAAAAAGACAGGAATATACGATGCACTGGTGAACATGATCTTGTAAAGAGACAGTGAGAGTAATAAATGTATCGAAAAATAGACATGTATTTAACCAGTACAAAAAGTCATTACATAACATAACATGATAAAATTTTGCTTTAAAGTTCCATTTCAGTTTGTCTATTACATTAATAAGGTTCATCTTTATCACTGCCAAGTGAGTGCTATGAAAATACATATTAAATAAGCGTATAAAGAGTCTGTAGAGATTGTTGAACTTTACAGTTTACATCATGAACTGACTTCAGTTGGATAACCATTGAAAACCAGGAAGCGATAGACAGTTGTTTCGTGCTAATCTTCGATTTCTCGATAGTACGCAGCAATGAATCGAAAACATAGTCTTCAGGTATTATAGAGAGCGATTAACGTTTAAACAACAAACGCATAGCCAGTCAAATTCAATAAAATCGGATGTAAGGCACTTACCGATAGAAGCAGAAAGTGACAGGGAAATATTGAAAGTTAATTGAAATCAGAAATGAAAGCCAAGAACGCCTACTCTGTGGTTTAAAGGTTAAGGATTCATGGCTAGATTTAAAGGTCTTGCGTTTAATTCCACATAGGGTGTATGTGAGCACCACGGAAGAGTCTTACACTAGAATGGAATAGCTGTGCAATGCATTCTGATTTTCAATGGTCATCTAACTAAGAGCAAACCATAATGTGATCCCTAATAATAAACAAGAATTTCTATTATAAACAACTGATTTTACTGATATCCAGTAGTTGAAATTAACTATTCAGAACCATAATTAACATCATTATGCTTGTTAAATTATTTGAATCATTTCTAAATAAATAGTCATTTGGCATCTAAATATTATTATCGGAACGTTATCGACATTACTAAAGAAGCCGAAATCTTGTATTTTTTGTAAATGGTGAATTTATTTTAAAATCCTATCCAGATGAGAAGAAATCTGTTATTACACAACAGTGTTACTACAAAGTTTATTTTATAATGTATTTGATAAAGCTTTGTATAAAGTTGAAATTACGGTCATATGTACAGTGATGATCAATTAATCCTTGTTCAAAAAAGGTGATCACACACACACAGTCTCATAAATAACTTGATTTAACCGTTCCCTTCAATTGTAATAAATTAGTTCATAAAAATTGGAATAGAAACTATCGAAACATGTGGTCAACAAATTTGTTGGTAATAGACAACTGAGTAGTTTCGGCTAAAACGTAGTGCAGCTTCATTAATCTTTTGTTTACTGATCTGTGTAATGAAAATAACAATACTACCTGACAGTCCGAATTGAATGAATTGAAGTACAGCTCCAAAGTACATCAAATTGGCTGAAGGTAAAATACTTTCATCATTATACTATTTCTATTTTTATTCTACATTTTATAGATGATAGAAATCAGTAGTTGAAGAAGTTACATTATATCAATAGATGATTGATAGGACCTTTTTCACTCTATTCTCTCTTATTCTAAATCTTAATCAGTTGTACTCTAAAGGTTATTAAAACTTATTTACTTCATGTTTCGTTTTAGTTGAGTTCTTTTTTCATGCTCGTCGTTATCGGTACATAACTTCTTTTTTTTATTACTTGACGTCAATTTTCATCATCAATTCACAATCCAGATCAAATCAGATATTTAACCCATGGATTTGAAGTAATGAACAAGACCCATTGTATCATTGAAGAAGAAAGGTGGTAATTCAACGAAGAAAAATTTTCTTCGACGATTTCATTTACTCAAGCTGTACAACTGTATTGATAGTTAATTTTATTTGCTAAAATAGTGTTCTATGGTAAGATAGTATGATGCTAAATAATTAAAAAAAGTTTGAAGTGGTATGTTGTCAAGAATTTAAAATCGGATATTGAAAGTGATTGTTATATCCAAACGAAAAATAAATGAATGAAAACTATTAAGAATTATTCATAGACTATTATGACATGTATTCCTATTGAATAACGATTAATTAACTATGTTATGTGTACACTCATATTCGTTTTATCATAGACTTTCATTTGACCTATCGGTTACTGCAATCCGATTTACCATTCTTAACTTATTCCCAATTTATCAGTTACAGTATCCCACACTAACAGCCACTCTTGGCTTGATCTTGTATAATTGTTATTTTTCATTTTATAGTGTGATGACGACTGGTTCGCTTGTACATAAACTATGTATGTCTGAAATATACGATTCATATAGTGGAGGCTGAGATTACTTTCTGAACTCCAACGGGCACGGCTGGGCGAAAAGGACCAATAAAGATTCAGAGTTGACGTAAGGCAGTCAGTGCTAGTTGACGTGAAATTAGTTTAGCACAAGAAAAAGGTCATATAAGTCGATAATCTGATTGTCGATTTTGCCACGTGGTTATTGACAGGGTAAAAGTTATAACAATTATTGATGAGACTATAATTTACGGACGACTTTTGAGCGACGCTTAAATGACCTTGAGAATGTCCAACTTGGACTAACTGAGGTTTATAAAACAGTGTGAAGCATTCGAATTATGATTTCCAGTTGATTATTAGGGTTAAGAATTAAATTTAGGGTTTTCATCACCAACTGACATCAGCCAAAATGCCAAAACGCTATTTATTATGTCATCTTATATTTGATTAGTTCGTCCATAAATTATATTCTCGCTCAGTTATCTAATGATCCACTAGGGAAAAGTAGTAAAGTAAAGATAATTGTCCTAGTTAGCACCATTTGTAATAGGACTAAAATTCATTGTGAATATGGACCAAAAATGACATCATGCAACGAATTAAAATAAAATAAACTACTGATACTTTTGATAAACTATAAATCACATGAATCCTAAAGTTTTATTTCAGTGAATGATTTATTTATCATTTAATTCAGTACTATAAATCTGTTAACCTTTTTACTTAAAGTACAAAGACATTCATTATAATGGTTAAAGCTTGTCAATAAAAAAGCTGAACATTGGATATTGCAAAAGATTATTTAAATAAACAGACCCAGAACACATAATTCAAAATGTGTTCAAATGGCAAATATGAATGTATATTTATAACTAGGTTGAAATGTACAACATTAGCTAACAACTTCAACTAGTTATAGAAATATTGAAGTTATTACATTATCTCTACTAAATTATTACCTCAATTATTTGCACGAACAACAACACACAAATAAAATGGATTCACTTCTCTTCATTTCTTAATATGAATCTCTACATTTATTCATTATAGTTTAACAACTGATCATTTCAACCTAAGAAACAACACACTCGTTAATACCTGTTTAATACTAGTTGACTTTTGAAATCATTCATCAAGTGTGCAGTCATCTAGTACAATATTCCAAACAGTGATGCACAATATACAGGAAATATCCATTCCTAATTGACATTTCCATTCTACTATTCACTCATGCAATTATCTCTCACTAAATGATGCTTTCGGTGAACTACATCGAGAAGGACGATTCAAGACAAGACAGCATAAATGAAAAACGATTTCGCCTTCTGTTTATTTATGTTTAGATACATTCACTCATTATCTTCCCTTGGATCTTGATTTTCAAAATATCCTATACTATTTGTTCTACGAATTCGTTCTTCTCTGTTGAATTATACTGTCTGTTCCTAATGATTTTTACTACCATTGATAATGTTACCAGTTTTACTAATCTGGTATTTGTCTTAATGGTTTCATCCTTCAGAGCTGATATGCTGTGGTGACTTGGAATATTGCGAATGTATGTCAGGTTTGGTGTTACTCATAATTGACTGACTGAATAATATTTTTTTGAGGAAACATCGAGATATGTATTCATATTTGATTCGTCACCAGTTGTTTGGTATTCATTCGATACCTAATCTGAAGGTCATATTTGTTTTACGCTTAATTTGAAATCTTGCATACTATTGTTGTTTGGAAATGGGGATAAAATTTGAAAAATATTTCTTTACTTGGAAAATGGAAAGTTAAGGGGAAGTAACTTACATCATTTATACATTTATGTTCCGCAGTCGTTGAGGCCATTTGAGCATTTGCTGGTGTTGTTCCTCCCGATAATGTTGCTCCTTGTGACGGGATATTATTTACTTGATCTGCAACACCTGTATGATTTGGTAAATTATTCAATGTCACATGACCGTGATGATTACCGCCCAACAGAATCTCATCTTCACGACGTGACAAACTATCAGCAAATGTTTCAAGAACACAACGTTGTTTTTCTGTACGGATAATTCTATTGACTAGATTATCTGCACGGCGACGACATTGGCGTAATTCAACCAATAGCTCATTAACACATTGTGACCAAGTATCTTCTTCACCAGATAATGATTTTGCTGAAAAGCTCACATCTAGAATAGTTGCAGCTCCACGAATTTCCACACTGTATTAGAAGAAAATGAAAAGATTTAAGAGAAGTGTAATTATTTGAATGATTAGTTATAAGTTTGTGATAATGTCGTGAAATAAAATTAAACAATCTGAACAAACCTCCATCGTAGTAATAGTCATAATCCCAGTGAGGGATTATTTTAAGACACAACTTTCTGAGTTCTAGTGAGGAGCCGTAGCCAGTATAGTTCAGCCGTATTTGGTGTAAGACGATAATCCACTGATTATATTGGGAGATGGTTGCACATTATCGTGAGTTGACTGAAGTTACAAATGTAAATCAGCAATGCTGGATCAATAGTCTAATGCTTAAGTCCTCACAGTAAGACCTGAAAGGTCTGGATTCAGTCATAATTTAGGTCAGCGATGAGTACATTTGAAGAGTTACACACTGCAATGAAATATCTGTCCAGCGCTTCCTGGTATTCAGTGATTATTTAACTAACATTATTAATTGATGTAGGCTATAAAGTGGTTTCATTTAAATTACAAACTTAATATGGCAAAATACATTATTATATTTTACGTATATTTCAACTAAATTACACCATTTATTAAGGATAGAATTTTACAGTCATCTATTTTAGGAATTGGATTACCATAAGCGACAAATTTACTTGACTTATTATTAAGCCACTTTATTTTGTCTAGTCAAAAATATTTAAACAGATGAACAATTATTTATTGAAAAACTACTGGATGAAGTGAAGCACAAAACACGAAGTGAACATTTTTGGATAGTACATAGAGTTATGATGCTATTTCATGAGTTTTGATAATTAGTAAAACATTCTAGTGACTGTAGTTTTAGTCCGCAGAGAAGAATAAAAACAATGGAGAATGGTTATATGAAGGATCACATTGTATTAAAGACCATACAATTAAGTTAATTTTTTAATATTTAGATCATATTACAAAGGTAGTAAGCGATTGTTGTAGCGAACGTTGAATTGAAAATTTGACATCACAAACTAACTGCTATAGGTGAAGTATTATAAACCTGGAAATGTACTGGTGTAAGTATAAATAAAGCATTTCATACGAAGCATGAAAGATCTAGGTCCTATCGTTACCGGGTTACCGGAGGTGCACTGCTGAAGAGCCCCAGTCTAGGAAGAAACAAGTACCTAGCGTTTTCTGGTTTTCAGTGATTATCTAATTAAAGTGAGTTAATGATGTAAAAGTGAGTTAAAGTAAACAATTAGTTCTCTTCTCGTTGATAATTTGATCACTTTGAAATAAGTGTTGTTATCAACTGAACATCATCAACATAATATTACAAATATCCAATAATTCACTATCAGGCTTGGAAGTATGGATGGATTATATTTTTAATGAGTTATGTGCATTGAAATCAAAGGGTCTAAATCCAGAGACTCCACAATTCAACCGTTTGATACATCTTTCTAGTGCAGTAAACTCTTATAATACCTTAATTACACCTGATTCGGTATAAGTTGGATTTGATGAAGTTCGTCAGTTAACTTATTTAACAGATAGTATCATTCGGTTAGTAACACTTTGTCTATGTCTTTGTGCCGTTATTATCAAGTTTTTATGATCACGTACGCTTGGCTAAGTATGACAGCCTGTACATACATTTCTCTAACTGAAATCTTAGTTGCTTAAATCGCTCGATAACTCATACGCTTGGTAACATATATGGGCATCTTAAATACATTTATTAATTTGCATTTGTATTTCTGTTCGTATTTGCCTACAGTGCATTTGGATTTCGCAGCTGAGTTGTATATTTGTAAACTGTGGTCAACATTTCTTTTGCTTTCTGACACACCATTAAAAGTTATCTAATAACAGTTATCAGGACGACTGATATACGAAGAAATTCCACTACACTCTTACTATTAATAATAATTAAAAAGCTATGACACACAGAAACTTTGGGTTTAATAATAAAGACACACATACTCAAATATCTTAATAGAACAACAGATTATTATACCAATAACTAGATTTCATTAATGTAGTTTACAGATAATCAGCTACATGAAATCCTATAGTATTCAATGTTAGAACATGGACAATAAGTAAGTTTCACGTCTGAGTAGAACAAGGATGTAATAAATTATCTCTACTAGTTTCTTAAATAATTAATCATTAATCCTGAATATCATTTTTAAAAATAGTTTCCATTTCTAATCTTCAAATATATATATATATATATATAACCATGAATATCGAATAGGTCATTAAGTCATACTGAGAGGTGTATAAATCGAATAACAAATGAAAAATATTTCTGCTGTTTCAACTGACATTTTCCCTTACACATCAATAAAATTAGGCATTCTAGCATAGTTTTTGGTTATGTGTGCATAAATATGGTATATATTGATTGGTATCTCCAAGTAACTATGTACTATAATAAATTTTAGTATTAAGATTGCCATTTTTCAATGATCTCTACAAATAACTTTATTTCATTGATACGATAAATAGTTGGTCTGCATCGATTTTTATTAGGGGTCCACAAATATCCTTTGATAACGTCTTCATAAGCCTAGAAACAGGCTGAGAAGATATTATTAGATCAGAATTGAGTAAACGCTTCTCAGAAAAAGATCAAGGACTATTTGTCATGTTTTGTTTCTTCCAGAAGTTGGTAGTAAATAAAGATAATCTAAAACCCTATATATATACTCTATTTCCGGTAAGTAGATTAACCATGGAGTAAACCTTTAACTCATATTGATCATCTTTTCTTTATTCTTCAAATGTAGAGGTGGTCTGGGAAAATAGAAGACGTTCAAGTTGAAGAACCTACGAATATCCTCTACTCTTACCGACCATGTTTCACAGCCATAAAGTAGGACGGAACGAACTGCTGCACAGTAAACCCGTCCTTTGGTTGATAGACGGATATCTTGCCTACGCCATAAATGATGCAAGTTAGAAAAACCTAGTCGAGCCTTCTGTATCCGTGCTGAGATTTCACCATACACCAGACCATAAAGGCTGATGAGACTTCCAAAATAAGTGGAGAGGTCGACAAGCTCAACTACTTCACTACCTATCATTAGTTCAGGTGTCGATGCAACCCAATCCTGAAGCAACATTTTGCATTTCGAAGGAGAGAATCTCATCCCGAACATGCTTGCACTGTTGCTTATGGTGGTCAGAAGACTGTGCATTTTGTCAGCGTCTTCACCAAATAGAACTATGTCATCGGTATATTCTAAGTCAACAAGTGAATCTCCCGGTAAAAGTCCAACTCCTGTAAATTAAGATGAGGAAAACCACTAAACGGATATCTAAAACTTTTAATTTTAACGATGATTGTTTTACAAATGTTAACTTATAACATAGAACAGCATCTCACTGACAAATTCTGATACGAAAGTCACTAACCCTTATTTATTCTAATGAGAAAAGGAGTGATTAAATATTGATATACAATACAGTTTGTTCCTTTGCGAAAAATTGAACAGGCCATTTCTCATGTAAATAAATAAATATTTAAAAATATAAATACTATGTAACAAATAAAGTAACTTCCTAAACGACCTGATTTAATGATGACTGATTTTTTCGAAAAATGTAAGGAAAATAAAATCTACTGAAAAGTGAACTTACGTCCGCAAAACATTTCAAACGACACCATCCTCAAACATGTATAGATATTAATTCACTAGCCATACCAAAATAACTCATAATACTAACGACAATGAAGGTCAACTGTGTTAGAGAAAGGATAAAATATTATATTGAAGGCAAATTTATCAAATCCATGAACATTTATATGTTCATTTTGTGGTGTATGCTACTTATATTAACAGATGTAAGTAATATATAACACTAATCAGAAGTGGACTGAATGGTAGCAGAGTATTGAGATTGAAATAAAATGAAGAAAGAAGAAAACTCAAAGCAGTCAAGATAATAACAGGAATGAAGGAACAACGAATTTTGTCAGGAACACTACAGAGATGTTGTGCAAATGATGTATTTAATGTATGATTTTCACATTTTACCAAGTGATAGTGTAATTTTGCATTAAACAATAAAATGATCATCCCTATCAAGTATTCGTTCACTATAATATAATCAGTACCAAGTAATTGTATTTATAATAAGTAGTTATGACGTAATCTAAAGTATCTTTATGTTGACAAATGTCCACTTATCAGTTAAAAGTTCAGTACACATAACAGATGTTTAGTTAACTTTTTTTTGTAACTTGAACAGATGAATACAATGCCTAAAAGTTAATGAACTTTTTTGTTTGTTTTGATATTTCATTCTTCTTTATCCTATTCTTACAGGATCAACTAAATTATCCAAAATTAGGGAATACAATATTCTGGATTAATAAGATTAGTTACTGAATAAAATAGCTGAATCTTATCATGTACACCTCAAACTAGAATATCGTCAAAAGCAATGGTAAATTGTAAAAATAATCAGTATGATGTAAGAGTATTAACATGTGTATTTTGTGAAAAATCAATCTCAAATGTAAGATTAAGTCTCATATACAATAAATTGATATGTTCCAATGAAATGGAATACAGTATAGGGGTTGTGGAGATTATTAAGTTTTTGATTGAGATCATGAACCGATTGATGTTAGATCACCTTTGGAAACCTGGAAACACTGGACGGCCGTTTCGTCCTATTGTGGGACTCCATCACCATTGGATGCCGGCTCAGTTTTCCAGTAGGTTAAGCGTTCGCGCGCGAGACCGAAGGCCCTGGGTTTGAATCCCGCAAGCGAGGTCTTGGGTGTGCGCTGCTGAGGAGTCCCACAATAGAACGAAACGGCCATCCAGTGCTTCCAGGTTTCCAAAGGTGGTCTAACATCAATCGGTTCATGATCTCAATCAAAAAGAAATGGAATACATTTATTTTAATGTGCTCATAGCAATGATGTGAACTATTTTAAAGAAGAATATTACTTATTAATTGCCTACTCATCTTTAATTAGTTACTTATATAACTGTGCTAAACTTATTTACAGTAAACAAATCTTCT